GGGGAACGGGGAGAGGGCACCAAGCAGCAGGTACCCCAGAGCCTTGCCGTCCCTTCGCTCCCAGCTTCCTGCCCCCCCTTCCCCTGACTTGGTCAGGTTTACCTCCATGGACCTGTCTTTGTTCCTCAGGCGGGAGGAGCCGGCAGGGGAGGAACGGCGGCGCCCAGACACCTTGCAGTTGTGGCAGGAACGTGAGCGGCGCCAGCAGCAGCAGCTGCAGCAGCAGCAGAGTGGAGTGTGGGGGACCCCCAGGAAGGACAGGTATGGGAGAAGGTCAGGGATGGGTTATCGCAGGACAGTGGGCCCTGGTGGGGTGGACCTTGGAAATGAGTGTTCCGAGGGCCTATGCCTGTCCCTAGGAGCTCTGGTGGCATAGTGCCTGAGGCATTTGACTGCTAACCACAAGGCTGGTGGTTCAAACCCACCAGCCACTCCTTGGAAGGAAGGTTGGGCAATCTGCTTCTGTAGTGATACCGCCTCAGAAATCCAAGGAGGGGTCGCTATGAGTCGGATCCGACTCGACAGCAGTGAGTTTGTTTTTTTTTTGTACGCCTGTCCCTGAGCCACTCTGAGTGCTCCTGCCTGCAGCCTGCTTCACCCTCCAGAGTGGGTGGGCCCTTGCCCTCCCCTGCTGATTCCACAGCTCTTTTCTCTCTTTCTAGTTTCCTGAAGCTGGGGATCAGGGCTGCTGGGGGAGGTGCCGCCACTCCATCGACACAGGCCACCTCCAAGTACGTCTCCTCCCAGAGCTCGCCTCACCGTCCTCCCTACACACCTTCTGCTTGACCAGTCCCTCTAATTCCCTTTTTGTCTTCTCTCAGCGGCACACCTAAGCCTACTGCCACCCAACTGGGGGCTTTAGGGGGACAGGGAGCTCCAGCTCCTGCCCCCACCTCCCAGGAGGCTCTTCCTAGAGTTGGACCAGGTGGGACAGGGACTTTGGAGGGTGGCACATGAAGGTGAGGGAGTGGTTGGGGCACTGAGCGGATGTCTCTCTTACCTGCCCCTGTCTTCTGGCTCTGGCTCCAGCCATAGCACCTGCTCCCCGGCCACTCGGCTCCATGCAGAGACCAAACAGCTTCCTCTTCCGCTCATCCTCTCAGGGCAGCTCAGGTAGGTTTCCCCGGCCCTCCCCACCCCAAGCCTGTTACTGTCCCAGAACTAACCCAGTGGTACCCCTGAGCTTATTTCATCTCTTTTGGCTTGGGAGCTCTCTGTTTTCCGTTTGTTGAAAGTCTCACAAGCAGAGAGGCAGGAGACATGGGTGTCAGTTCAGTGGGACCCAGCTCTGAAATTGACACTGAGTAGTGGAAACAGCCACTCTTTTCTTCTCCTAGGCCCTTCCTCACCAGACACTCTCTTAAGGCTTCGGCGATCCCCCCAGGTTCAGGACGAGAAGGAATTAATGTCTCAGCTGCGCCAGGTAAGAAAGAGGGTTCCATGTGAGAAGGGGCCTGGACTCAGCACGGCAGCTTCTCAAGTTCCCTGGCCTTGCGAGTCAGGCCTCTCTTTCCCACCCCGGCACTTGCCTGAGAATGGAAGGGCAGTCATGAGGCCGCTGCCCTTGGCATCCCCTCCCCTCTGCCTCCCAGGTCCTTGAGTCCCATCTGCAGCGGCCCCTGCCTGAGGACCTGGCAGAAGCTCTGGCCAATGGGGTCATCCTGTGTCAGCTGGCCAACCAGCTCCGGCCGCGCTCCGTGCCCTTCATTCACGTGCCCTCCCCTGCTGTGGTCAGTTGGGGCCCAGGGCAGGAAGTGGAGAATGGGACAGGGGACTCCTACGGACTCTCCCTGACCCTCTTCTCGTCATCTTTTTGTATCCACCCTCAGCCAAAACTCAGCGCCCTCAAGTCTCGGAAGAATGTGGAGAGTTTCTTAGAAGCCTGTCGAAAAATGGGGGTGCCTGAGGTATGGGGGAGGCGTTCTCAGGAGCCTGGGGCTGGTCTCCACTGTAAAGAGTGGTGGGGCCCTGGGCTCAGCTCAGCATGGTGCATGGGTGGCAGGGTTCCGTTGCGGGGTGTCTGCTCTCCAGAAGCACACACCCCAGCGTGCCCTGTCCTGCGCATCCCGTCCCTGCATGTCTGCACGTTGACTCGGCTCTGGCCCTGGCATGGGTGGGCAGGGGGTGGGAAGGATTGTCTTGCTCCTGCTGCTGACGTCTGTCTTTTGTCCTTGTCCATCTGTCCTCCTCTCCCTTCCCAGGCTGACCTGTGCTCGCCCTCGGATCTCCTCCAGGGCACCGCCCAGGGGCTGCAGACTGCATTGGAGGCCGTGCAGCGGGTGGGGGGCCGGGCCCCCCCACCCCTGTGGCCCCCCTCTGGTCTGGGCGGCTTCGTCCTCTTCTACCTGGCCCTCGCACTGCTGCTCTATGTCACCTACACTCGCCTCCTGGGTTCCTAGGACCTGAAGTCACTCCTCCCTGGCCCTTGCCCTGTTTCTATTTATAAAACTCCCTTGCAAACCCCACCACCGTCACCACCACCAGTGGTGCCTTCAGTCCCTGCCAAAGACACTAGTGTGCCCTCCCTTCACAGATACTGACCTCAGAGGCCCCACTCTGGTGCCTCAGACCCTGGGCCGCCAGCCTCTAGCCACCCTCCTGTGGCCCCTCTGTGCCCCCACCCCCCAATTTCTGATGGTGCCTTCGTCCCCTCTCCCTGTCCCTTTACCCTGTTCCCCAGAGGGGTGGAAAGAGCTTGAATCTTTCCCTTCCCTGTCCCTCTCCCCTCTACTCTGGGGGCTAAATTATCTATATTTTGTAGAGAGAACTCTATATTTGTAGGGGATGCGGGGCCCTAACTCAGGTCCCTGTCCGTGTGTATAAACTGTACAGACCGTGGCCGCCTCTGTGTGTGTGTGTGTGTGTGCGCGTCTGCTCCTGCTGTGGCCGGGTGCAGCCTTGGCCGGGCCCCACGGCCCCTGTGTGCCGTCCTGCCGACTCCAGCATTTCCCTCTGGAAATGACAGATCTGTCCTGCTAGGCCCACTGTGTCATCTCTCCTGTTATCTGCTGGCAGCTTGCTTCTCATTTGTCCCCAAGCCATGAGCCCACAGTGTTCAGCCAGGATGCCCCGCCCTTTGCCTCCCTGTCCCCTGAAGGATGAGCCCTTCAGCTGGCTCTGCCCAGGTCCCCTTAGGGACTTTGGTCTCTGATACCTTGCCCTGTGCTAAGGTAGGGAGGCTGAGTGCAGAAGGGGACAAAAGGTAACTTATTCTGGGCCCCTCCCCCCAGGAGACCCTGTGCCAGCCCCACCACATCTTGGAAGAGGAGGGGGCCCCAGGAAGGGGCCTCCCCTACATCGCTGCTGTCGTCCATGCACTGCTGGAACGCTTTAGGGGTTGAGATAGGGGCACAGGGCCCCAAGGTGCCGGACCCCGGAACCCCAGGAAAAGAAGATGGACAGCGATCTGGTCGCTGCTCCTACAACAAGGACTCTGGCACTCAAGGTCCTGGCCCTGTTCCTTGAGCACCCTTCTGGCCCGAGGGGTTGGAAGTGCCGGGGCCCTGGGAGAAAGAAAGGGGCCTTGCTGCTTCTGGGTGTGGCTAAGGGTCTGGGATGGAAGACAGGGAACCGGATGTTGTGTCCGTGTCAAGCACAATAAAAGAAGCCGGAAGACCTCTTGGTTGACCCCCAGGTGTGTGTGTGTGTGTGTGTGTTGTGAGCGTGTCTGTGAACGAGAAGAGAGTAGGGCATCGCGAGGAAGTAGGCCGCCTTGGCATACGTCTCAGCTGCGGCCTCCAGTCTGTGCTCCGTGGCGCTCAGAGCGGTCACGAGGCCAGACCGCGCCGCCCCCACCGCAAGAGGGCTCCTGGGGGGGGAGCGCAGCCACGTGGCCCGGAAACGCGCTGGGCGCCTGCGTTACTGCGAAGCCCTGCGAGGTGGGCCACCGACCTGGGGCTCAAAGGCTGGGAGCGCCCAGACCACCGAGGGGGGGGCTGGGTGCTGGGGAGGGTTGGGAACTGGAAAAGTGGGAGGGAGGCCCGGGCCCCAGAGGTGCTGCCCTGCTCTCACCCAGACGCAGCATGTTGCCCTGGCTCCTTCCGCGGAGGGGCCCGGGAGAGGAGGAGGTGCTGGAGGAACATGGCTCCTCCGTGGGCAGTGACCAGGGCGAGACCTGGAGCTCTGGGGAGGAGGCCCCAGGGGAGCCAGGAACGCCCCCGCAGGACAGGTGAGGGGCTCAGCATGGAGGCAGTTGGTGTGGGCCTCCGACTGGGGGAGGTGGCCCGCAATGAGTTTGTCCTGTGCCTTACATTGAATCACGGGTACCAAAGAATAGATTGGGGGGTGCTGCAGACATTATGAGCGCACATTGGGCAACCTTTGGCCTGCCACTGGGCTCGAGGGATACTCAGATCTGGAGGGGCAAGGCAAACAGAAGGCTATGACTGGAGCATCTCTGTCCCCTACACCCTACCCAGCCCTCAACCCCAGTCCCTAAATCCTTCCTGGACCCTGAAGAAACAGCTGCCACCCAGCAGTCCCCCAGGCCTGGCTGCTGAACAGTCCCCAGGAACCCCAGGTAGGTACTCGGCCTTGCCTTAAATTATTCCCCAAGAGCCCTTCATTGACTCCTGGGCCAGTTTTACTCTCTTTAAGTCCCCCACCCCCACCCCCAGCTTCCCCTTTCCCCCAGATGACCTGGGATGTATCTTCCTCAACGATGGTCCCACTAGCACCCTGGGACCCCAACTATGAGGCTGAAGCAGGGCCTCGGCTATGGGTAAGTTGGGGGTGCCGTGTGGCTCCGGCCTGGGGTGGGAACGGGTGCCTGGGGAAGAGGTGAGCCTCCAGTTTCCTTCCCCTTCCGCAGGGGCCCAGCAGCGGGTCAGGCGTCTCGTTCTCAGGCCGGACCTTATGTCATCCGTCATTCTGGCCATTGTATGAGGCCGCCTCCAGCAGGGACCCTCGTCCCTTGGTCCCTGCAGGAGAGCATCACAATGGAGGGCCGCTGCCCGGGGATGCAGGTATTTCTCTGGCTACTGTAGCAGGAGGGGGGCTCGCCCTGGGTCCCCCAGCCTGGTCTCCAGGGTCACCCCAGTGTTTCTCTTCCCCAGGGTTCCCGGCGCTGTGCTGTGAAGATGTCTTTCTCTCAGACCCCTTGCTGCCCTATGGGCAGCGGATTCCCCTGTACTTGGCCCAGGCACAGCAGGTGAGCGCTTTTCCTGCCCTGGCCTCCCCCCAGCTTTTGGGCAGGGCCTAGGAGGAAACACACTGCCCCCTCCTTTCTCCTCAGGTGATGAGCTCCCTGCAGCTGCTGGTCCCACCCCCTGTCATGTCCCCTAGGGTGGTCCCCACCTCATCCCCTTACTGTTCCGCTGCCTGGCTCACTGGGCCTGAGTTGATCGCCCTCACTGGCCTCCTGCAGATGAGCCAGGGGGAGGCAAGACCCAGCTCCTCAACATCCTCTGTGACCCTTGACCATCCTTATCTTGTCTCTGCTGACCCAAACCCCACTGGTGGCCCCAGCTGTTCTCACTTCCCAGACCCTTCTCTCCCACCCCCTCCAGACACCCATTTACCATAGCTACTCAGGGGGCAGAGTGTGCTTCCCCTCCCCTCACAGGTGGTGTTGGCAATAAAACAATGTTGGTTTGTAAAGGGACCCCCAGTGTCTGGTGGTAGAAAGGGGCATGGAGGCCGGGATGGAGCTTATACCTTCCCCAGGGCATTGGTTCCTCTAACCCAAAACTCTGGTTACTCATTGGCCATCCCCTAGGGTGGGGTGGGGCGGGGCAATCCATGGGCCTAAGCCCTTTACAGGCTGGCCAAGCAGGGCACCATTAATGAGAGCGGAAAGGTCCACAGTGCAGAGTGTAAAGCATGACTCCATCAGCTCTGCCACGCTGGGGAGAAAGGAAGATTGTGTGAGCGGATGGCTGGCACTGGGAGAGGCAAACGAGGGAGTGGCACCTTATTTTTGCGGGTTACTAGTGTAAGATAAGTAAGATAGTGTAAGATAAGGAGCTCTGGTGGTGTCCTGGTTAAGACATTTGGCTGCTAAGCAAAAGATCGGTGGTTCGAACCCACCAGCCGCTCCTCAGAAGAAAGATGGGGCAGCCTGCTTTGGTAAAGATTTACAGCCTTGGAAACCCAGTGGGGGTTGCTATGAGTCAGAATTGACTCCATGTCAGTGAGTTTGGTTGGTTGGTTGGTTTAGTGGTAGGATACCTCTTACTATCTTTCTCTTATGCTGGGACAAGTTCAGCCCTTGGGCTATGTGGGGTTATCTTTGCGCCGGCTGGGGATGGCCGAGGGTAGCACTTTGGCTGAGAGGAAACACAACTAAGACACTGCGGGTGTGTGGGGGCAGGTCCATGGATAGTGGTCACCGGCAGCAGGTTAAGGGACCAGGACTCTCCAGTGATGCTGCCCGAGCTCGGCAGGGAAATAGAGGATGAGGGCTTCCGGTCGTCTAAAACTTAGAAAGCCGAGAGATGCTAGGGGGCTGGTTCTTGTATTTTCCCCCTTAAAAGAACCCCACTTCATGGGCAACCCCCTGAAGGTTTCCCAGGCGTCAACTCTGGACTTAGAGCCCCTTCCACGCGAGGACGGGGGTGGGGAGACGAGGGGGCGGGGTCACGGCCACCTGTAACTTTGTCCAGTTTGCCCCCTCTCCTCGCAATGAGACCCTGCCGGGGCGGAGTCGCCGCGGGGCCTTCTCACCTCCTTCTCCCAGAGCTTAAGGCACTAGTGCGCGTGTAGCGGCGCAGGCTGTTTTTGTCTGCCGCAAGGCGTCGCCCCGTCCCTTTCGAGGCGGGACCTGGCCGAGGTCGACTAATTAGAAGCGGCCTTCAGGGGGCTTAAGCTTGCTACTGTCCAACGACACGTAGCCAGGGGCGGGGTCCCCGATGCTCACGAACTCCCTAACGAGCTCGGACAGCGGCTGCGCGCCAGGCTGCCCCCGACGTCGCCTTGGGCGTCCCGCAGCCAGGCCCGGGCGATTGCGCGGGGGCGCCATCACTAGGCAGCAGTCGGCAGGCTACTTGTGCACTAAGTCCGCTTCGTCGCCCGCCATGGGCTCGTAGTCACTCCGGGTTCCTAGGGTTAGGTAGCCCCCGCCCGCCCCAAGCCATTAAGGGGTCCGAGGCTACCGCCCGCAGCCGGTACAGGGTCTTAAGGGTCGTTTGCTCGCACGTCACCCAAACACCACGCACGGCTCAGGCTCTTGATTCAGCCGTGGAGGCCGGGGTCTCATAGAGTTGGCGTAAAGAGAGTCTGGAGGCGCACGTTGGGGGTTCCCTTGGCATTGAGTCAATCCTACAGCCTGCACCACCATCCCCGAGTTGCTTCATGGAGGCCAGGGCGGTCTCATGAATGCTTTGGGCCAACGCAGCGTTGGGCGTGAACAGCCCGAACGCCCCTGGACCCGTGGGTGCTGAGTGGTCAACTCCACGAAGAAGGAATCTGCGTGGCTGCAGCGTCGCAAGCTGAGCAGGGACCGGAGCAGGCCGGGGATGCCTGGGTGTCCCCAGAGAGTCAGCTCTCTGGCCTTCCGTAGTAGGCTGTGTCCCCGAACCCAGGTACAGGGGGCGGCAGCCGCTGCCCAGACCTGCCATCTGTCCCAATGCCTAGCGTCACAGGCATCCAGGCCCCAGGCCTCGCGATCTTCGTAGGAGCCAGGACCTAGAAAGACAATGGGTTGGTTACAGGAGGCGCCTGGGCCGTGTATTTGATATTGTGCCCCGAGAACCGAAAACGTGTAAACTCTTAATGTTTGAACTTGATTTCCGTGAACTCGGGTGCGTTGTCAGGCTACATGTGCGAAAACCCCTACTCCCTCCTGCTCCTGGCAGCGCTGTTTCCGCCCGCGCAGGCTCGCGCCTTGGCGGCGGTGGCGGCTCGCACCTCGGGCGCGGCTCTGTGCCACGCCTGCTGCTCCGCCTCGCGGGCCGCTGCCGCACCCAGGCTGCTGCCGCGCGTCTCCGGGGCGATCAGGTGGCGCTAGAGCACGTCCGCGCGCTGGCTGACGGTGCACGCGCCCTCCAGGCTCCCTCTACGGAGCAACGCTGGCCCGCCACAGCTGGCGCGGAACTTCCGCTCGCTTGCGTTAACACTCGAGGCCGGGAGCGTCGGCGCGCGGCGCGAAGCATGGGCGGCGATGGGATTTCTGCTTCCTAAGGTGGCCGCAGGGCTGCATGTGAGCTTGGCAGGGCCAGGCCAGCGACTGGCCGAGGTGCACGTTGGCGGGCCCGGACTCTGGGGTCGCCGTCTTCCAGCTTCATCCCGGGCCACGAAGCAAGGGCTGAGACGCGAGCGTAGGCAACAAAATGGCAGAAGGGGAGGCTGAGACGGCTGGGTCCCGTTCCCTGAGACCTGGGAAAAGACCAGCAGAGGTGGGGTTGAGGTGACGGTCTCGGGGAGGGGGAGGGCAGCGTCCCGGCAAGTTGGGACCTGTCTTGGTTCCCAGAGTCTTTCACCTGCTCTCGACTTGAAGTTTGGGGCAAGGGGTCCGCAGCGCCCCTCGCTGCGCACTGCGCGTGTCCTAGTGGCTGCATGCTGGCCTGCGACGCCCGGGGCTCCTGGCTCCTACAACCCCAGGGGCTGGAACTCGGCGTGCTGCCCGGGCCTCCTCTCCCCACCCTTCCCTCGCGTTCGGCTGCCGGAGTCCCCACCTCCGCGAGATTAACCCTCGCCAGCGCGGGTGCTAGACCTCGGGGTCCTGGGAGCGGAGTTGGGAATTCTAGCAGAAGCATCGCATCGCCACCGCGCCGGCCCGGGGTCACAGAACTGTGCAGGGGCGGGGAGGTGGAGGCCCCTCTGCCGCGCTGAGCTGCGGCCGGTTGGGGGACCGCGTTAGGAGCGGGAAAACAAAGATTGGAGACCCTGTGAGGTGGAGGTGAATGGAATTGTGTTCGCGGTGATTGCTCTGGCGGCGACGACGATAGAGTTGGCGGTCAGAGACCCTCTGCTAAATGAGGCACCTCTGGTGGCGTAGTGCCTAAGGCCTTTGACTGCTAACCAGAAGGCTAGCAGTTCAAACCCACCAGTCACTCCTCGGAAGACAGACGGGGCAATCTACTTCCGTAGCGATACCGCCTCGGAAACCCAAGGAGGGGTCCCCCTCGGAAACCCAAGGAGGGGGGTCCCTGTGAGTGGAATCGACTCAACAGCAGTGAGTTTAGAAGCGGGGGCACCCTTACAGCAGCAACCCCTCCTGCCTCCCTTCACTTCCCACTGGGGCTCTAGGCATACTAGCGGTGGGGAGTGTGTTTTGTTCTCTTTCTTCCCAAGCAGTCCTAGAGGCTGTGATCCTTAAGCATTAGGCTGTATTGGTTTTGAGCTGGAGATTCAGTTTCTCCTTGGGTTTGGTGGGATTCGAGGTGTCGTGGGATTTTAATAAAAACAAAACAACCTTCTGTATTGGTCGGTGCACACAGCTCATACCCACCAGAGTCCCAGTCAAGTGGTCCCTGAAGGAGATCTTGTGGAGGACAGGGCCATCTTTCAGGGGTACCTCCTAAGACTGCCCGATGCACTCAACCCCTCTCTACCTCCACTGCCCAAAATGTCGCCAGGGGACCAGCTGAAGGTCTTGAGCGCAGAGGTACCCTTTGCCCCTTGCAACCCACGGTTTGAGATGGGCTTGAGGGTGGGGTGTTTTGCACCCCATTTCTGATCCTTCTTGGGACCAATGACTCATTTGGGGGTGATGGCACTGGTCAGTGCACACACTGTAAGACACCAGCAGCTGACACATGGGTGTGGCCCTTTGAGGACTTTGTGATACCACTCTCCTGGCAAGTAAAACCAAACCAAATGCACTGCTGTGGAGTCGGGACCGACTCATAGCGACCCCTCCTTGGGTTTCTGAGGCAGTATCACTTTAGGAGCTCTGGTAGCATAGTGCCTAAGGCACTTGACTGCTAACCAGAAAGCTGGTGGTTCAAACCCACAAGCCACTCCTCGGAAGGAAGATTGGGCAATTTACTTCCGTTGTGATAATGCCTCGGAAACCCAAGGAGGGGTCACTATGAGTCGGATCTGACTCGATGGCACATAACAACAATCACTACAGAAGTAGATTGTCCAACCTTCCTTCCGAGGAGCGGCTGGTGGGTTTGAACCACCAGCCTTCTGGTTAGCAGTCAAATGCCTTAGGCACTATGCCACCAGAGCTCCCCCTGGGAAGTAAAGGAGGCAATTAAAGATTGAGAGAAGGAAGGGAAGAGGTATTCAGAAAGGAGTTCCCTCAGATAAGGAGGAAGATATAACAAGGGTATAGAAGTAAGAGTACCTGACCCAAGGCCAGGACGGCCTAAGCAGGGAAGGCTAGGACTTTGCACCCACACTTTTCCACTTCCCAGGCTTTGGAGGGAGTGGCTCTTTTATGACCCAATGGAGGAGGAGCCAATGGGGTGGTGTGTGTGGAAGCTAGGATCACCAAATACCCTTTCCAAGAGTCACATTGAAGGTAAGATGCAGGGACCCAACCAGCGTTGCAAGGATAGGCATCCCGACCAGCAGGCAGGTAGTGCCAAGGCCTGCGGCGGCTGTCTCCCAGTCAGCCAAAGGCCCACCAAGGTGCGTCTCAGATGGTGGTGCAGTGGGACCAGCAGCTTTGCTGCTATTAGTAGGGGTTGGTCGGTGAGAGGCAAGTATGGATGATCCCTAAGTGGCCACCAAAACAGTACAGTGTTCGAGGCTATAGTTCCTAGTGTGGCCAAGGGCCTGGTTAAAGGCCCCATGTGATGTCGCAGGGGACATCAAGCTCAATTGGCATAACATACTGCACAAAATGTTGTTCCACCTCCTACTTTGGTGACTAGAGACTGGGATCTGAAAAGCTTGCAAGCAGCCATCTAGATGCAATGAGAAGAATGAAGAAAACCAAAGATTCATGGAAACAATTAGTCCTAGCGACTGATACACCATTTGATCTTCAGCCTGTACGAATGAGACCAGAAGAACTAGATGGTGCCCAGCTACCACTGCCAACCACTCGGAGGGGGATCTATGTAGGAGATCCTAGATAGAGTGGGAGAACAATGTGGAATAAAACTCAAAATCATTTAAGGGGGAAAAAAAAAGGAGACCAGGTTTCCTGGTCTGATAGAGCCTGGTAGAACCACTGAGACTATGACCCCTAGCTGCCCTTCAGGTCTGGAATTGAACTGATTCCAGCCAAACAAATGACAGGCATATGAGTTGAACATTTACTTTAGGTGGATACACTCCTTGGAGAGAGCAATCATGGGAGAAAGAAGGGCTGCTTATGCACAAGGTGACAACTCAGGGGGCAGGAGGGCATGGAGGGGTGGACACTGGGAAGAGAACTATCGGGAGGAAGTGGGAGGGGAGGTGTTGCATTGGGGTAAATTGTAGTCAATGTCATGAGATAATGTGTGTGTGAATTGCTGTATGGAAAGTGAATTTGCTCTGTAAACTTCCACCCAAATCGCAATTAAAAAAAAAAAAAGCCCCAATGTGAGAAGTGGCAGGGACACTTCTCTTCCCTTTCATAGGCTTGGCGCTGCTTCCATGAGAACACATCCACAGGTCCCACGTACCTGCTGTGCTCCTGGTCTGGGGTCTGACTCCCTGAGGCTTGATTTAAAACTCCCCACTGGAGGGTCTCTTCATACCTACTCCTTCCTGCTCCCATCAGCTAGTCACCTTGCAGCGCTGTGTGTCCTTGTGAACTCAGAGCTGCAGTCACAGAGCACTGCAGACTGTCTTGAGTTACTCATCTCCTGGGTTCTGGGCCAGCAGTAGTGAGTGGCAGAGTGGGTGGGTAATCATTGCCAGGTGACTAGCCTGCTGGGCGCCAGGGAACTTAGGGAGTCCAACAACTGGCCTCATCAGTTGCCCTAGCAACGCAGCCCTCAGCCCTACTCAGACCACATTTATCTTAGCCTGTTGCCCTGGTAACTTGAGTTGCTCTCCATGGGTAGGAACTGGCAGAACCTTAGTTCTATTGAGTGAGAGCCTCTCTCCCAACCTGAGAGGTCTGTTTTTGGATCCCTCTGCCAGGCGCAGGGAAGCCTTGGGATGGGATCCCCACATTCAGAGTCCCTGTGCAAGAAGATTCATGGGGGGGAGGAACTGTTGGAAGGGGGACTGGGGTACTCAGGTGAGGTTTTTCCTAGTGTGCCCCTCTCCTGGATCCTGAGTTCTTACTCCTCTGTAGTAGGAGCTGGTGACAGAGCTACGCTTTGGTGCTGTCCTTCCGACCTTCTCCCTCCATGGCTCCTGGGTGTGACCTGGCAGGCGCCAATGTGCAGATACTGGAACCGTTCACAAAAGACCTACAGGCTAGCTCCTGTGTTTCCTCATCCACAGAGGCCACTTACAGGTGACAGGCTGAAGCTGGGACCAAGCCAGATACTGTCTGCAGAGCACAGTCACAGCATTGGCCAGGGGGACGTTTTGAGGACTTGTCAGAAGCCTGGGATGAGCCCGGGCGAGGCATCCTAACTCCATGGTGCTGTGCAGCGGGGTTCGGATTTCTAACCACCAGGCCAGCAGTGCAGGTGCCCTGCAGTGTAGGTGGTGTAAACACAGCCGATTCCTTTCAACAGTTGCTGTCAAGTCAGGGCTTTTTCCATTCTTGGCCACTTCCTGGAGAGAGGAGGCTTGATGGCAGGAGGGCCGAGGTCTGGGGGGCTGTGGTTGTCTCACAAGGAGGCAGCTGCAGTTCTAGTCTCAGCCTGTGTCCAGGGAACTCTTGGTGTTTCTGCCGTGGGGTCTGAGGCTGACCCAGCCTGACTTCTGCCTGGTCATCTGGCCCTGGCCCATCAGCTGGCTGAAGTCCATGTCAGTGAGTGGGAGGAGGCAGGGTGGACCGCAGAGAGGACTAGGCCCCAGCACCAAGGAATAAAGAAAGAGATCCCTGGGGAACAGCGTGTGACTGAAAGCCCTCAGAAAAAGCCATTTCAGCTCCTGGTCCTTTAAATCTCAGTCCCCAAACTCAGTGTTTTTGGAGTTAGGAAGGGGGAAGCTAGGGAAAAATAAGAAAAGGCTCCTATCACACCATAACAGATTCCAGCTTCCTTTGCCTCTAGCCGAAAGGACAGAGAGAAACCAGATGGGGGAAAGGAGACGCAATATGGAAAATCCAGGGAACAAAGGTCCGTCCTGGGAGAGGGAGGGAGGGTGAAGGCCAGACGCAAGACAGGGTA